CTTATTATTACGTAATTAATGAACACATATATTAGAGAAATGTGGAATTATGATGTTCTGATTGCAGAATCTGATTCTGAGACAAATTAAATGTCCAGGTTTAGTGTGAGCGCATAGAAGTCTAAGCGATTGGAGACGTGTAGAGCACACTCAAAAATAACCTGAAGTGATCCATTCACAAATCATCTAACAGAGGAGCTGAGAGAATTTATCTTCGTTTTGCAAACCAATTGGGCAAACAAGGTTTTGGTGCTGTTTGCAGAACTGAAGAGGACCCACTCTCTCCAACTTCTCAGTACTCTGTGGGTACTGACCTATAGATACTGAAGAGGATTAATCCTCTTTTGTATATGTAGTTCATCATCCATAGGTCATGCGATTCATTTTGATGAATTTACCTCTACTTGATCCGTGGAGACACCCAATCACGAGGGACTCATTGAGAATGTTGAATGAATGTTGCCATCAATATTGTTTCAACATTCCATTTCAATGTTGACAAAAATGACATCTGCACATTGAATCACTGTGGCATCTCAATGTTGTTTCAACATTATAAATGTTGCCATGAAACATTGTTTCAATGTTGTTTCCACATGGATGTGTTACCTGGGTAGATGCCAAAGGAATTCTTTATGGTGAGGTGGAAATCCAGCCGAGATCCTTACCTTGTCCATCTGTGCGATGATGGATTCCTGGCTTCCCTGTCTATCCTTTATCTTCTCCTTGGCCTGTTGAGCCAGCTGTTCGAAGCCGGCGAATATCGAGACTGTCCCGGTGGAATGATCCCGCGATTTGAGCAGGGCTCCATCCTTGCCCCCGAAGCTGGCAGCCCTCGCCAACATGCTTCCCATGAAGCCGCTGCTGCGACTCGGCTGCTGAGTGCATGGGCTCAACGGGAGGCTCTGGGAACACAGAGAATGATGGAAAGCCTGTTTTGACCATCCGCTTGGGAAGACATTGGGTGAAATGCACCGCATCAGACTTGACTTTAGTCTTATTACATTCGCCTCAGAAAAGCTTTCTGTGGTTCGTTTTTGTTTCCACGGGAATTAGATTATGAAATCAAGTTACATCGACTTGAAACGCCCTGAATGTATGTGCTATTGTCAAGCACTTATGCTGGTTAGGGGAGAAAGAAAAGGAAGCCACTCATACAGTGGATGGAGGAGCAGTGCCGAGCCGGGGTCTATGGGACTGAGTGGCGGTCCCAGTGTTGCCATCCCCCTCGGAACCCAAGGACAAGGTTGGACTCCCAGACAACGTCTGGCTCCCTTGGCTCCCCGTGCCTGTCCCCGGGGGATCGCGTGCTCGGATTGTCGCCGCCGATCCCGCTTCCGACAGGCTTTCCATCGATCCGCCGGCGTGTTGCTACAAGAGCGACATTAAGGTCGAAACTGGATGCCCTCATCTAGAGAAACCGGATGAATACCGAAGAGAGATGGGGGATGACTCAATTACCAGCAAGACGTTTTCCTGATCCTTGGAAATGGCCTGTCCCAGGTCGAATTGCTCTTCCATTTCCCCATCAGATGGAGGACTACTCGACGAGGCCGACGAGGGAGAAGAAGAGGAAGGAGACATGACCTCCGATGGGGAAACGTTCGCATCTAAACCGGATTCTCCTTCAGGCAATCGGAGACTGGATGGAGGACGATACACGGACCGTAGGTCTAAGCCACTAGACATGGAAACCATGGACGAGAACCCCTCTCTCCCTCGCTCGGCTGTTCGGAACAAGGAAAATTCATGTTCGTATTCTTATCGAGGGGATGGTTAGTTAGCTAGAATAAGAATGGGATCTCACGTGGTGAGAGATCAGACGAGACCATTTCCGAGACCAAGTCGGATAGAGAAGAGTAAGAAGAACTAGTGCTGGGTTCCCCGTCTGAGTCGCTCCCACTTTCATCTGACAGGAAAACAAGGCATTCTAAGGCTTTATAAAAGGAGAAGCATTTAAATTATGATAGTATTAGCACTATAGTATGGTATGACCTATTTTTTTTTATAGTACAATATTATGCAATATCCCATTCCAAAAAAAATCTGAGCGCTCAACGAGACTCTTGAGTGGATATAACCCTTTCTTTTCAAATTCATTGCTTGCAATTCTGTGTCGCGATCACGGTAAATTCAATATCTTTGGAAAGATCTCGGTCCTTTTTAATTCAGTACAGTGTGCATGAGGACATGAGTACATGCGGGAATCTCGACTTGGCGCTATGAAAGGGTCCATGCCGTCTGCTGCTTCACTCTGTTTACTTTTTTCTGGAATGGTCTATTGGGAAATCATGCGAACAATATATTTTGCCACTGGTGAAGAATCAGGAGTGTGAGAACCAGTGGGTTGGGTCTGGATGGTGGAGAGAGCCCTTAGAGCGGAGGCGAGGGACGAGGAGTCATCCCAGGCAGAGAATCGGATGATATCCAGTTCGTGCGCGAACCATTTGACCTTGTCCCCTATGAGTACGGGGTCCGACACTCCGGTCTGCACCCGAAGGAAGGCCACATTCGAAGGCGTCAGGCTCCACTCAGCCAGGTACTCCACCGCCTGCCACACATCCCATTTAAAAGTCATCCATCTGCAATCCCCCTGTGGAAACGAATAGGAAGCGAGCGCTTACCTGTGTACGCGCGAAGCGGGAGAGGAAAGGCGAGGCGTTGGATCTGGACCGGAGGAAACTGTTGATCTGGAATGCCACCACCGGTCGTGGGTATAGTCTGAGGGTCCGCGTGTGCTCCGTGAAGTTCTGCAGCACGTTCCCCGAGTTGAAGAATCTCACCTGTAAGTAAGCTAGTTTGACACCGATCCTCGCTCAGAAGACGAGAGAAAGCACTTTTGTCTGTCGACTCACCATCGCGCAGCGAGTGGCCACGTCCACCGAGTCGACATCGTTGTCGTAGATGTACGGTAGAGGCGAGGGCTTATGAGACCTTGGTCCCGTATCTCTTACACCCTACATGAAATACCGCACTATCGTCATTCGGGGCAAAGTCCGGAGTGTCGAAATGAATACAATGGTCGGTGGAAGGCAATACTTACCTGTTCCATGGTCCCCATGACCTGTTCGGGTCGGAAAGAAAAATAGAGAACGCCATGAGGATAATAGCAAAGCACTTGTTTTCTTGTAAAAAAACGAAATCAAGTTGTCTACCTGTTTGAGATGATTGCGAAGCTGAGATCCTTCAAGTTCTGGTAAGGGGGGAATATCGTCTCCTCGAGTCGGAGGAGAGATATGATTCGAGTCCAGGTCCACCAACCAGATATCGTCTGGAAGTCTAGCCCAAGGCATATACACAATGCATCATTATTTTACAACACTTTTGGCAAAAATGATTTGTTCACAAACGGTATTGCTTAAATTGTCGTGTCATTACATTTTATTATTATTATTATTATTTAAATAGGCGACTGTTGAACCATCATGGTCAACGACAAATCGGAAAAAAAATATATATATATATGGAATGAGTACGACGAGTGGCCTTACTTGAAGTTCTGTTTGTACTTGAGAAAGCTGGCGGGAAGTCCTATGAGAAAGGGTGTGGGCGCGAGGAGCAGCTAGAAAAATTATCCACAATGAACAAGTTGAGAAATCTTTCCGAAAGCCAGCGATCCGATAATAGCGGGTAGAGTTGATTCTCACTTGTTCAGCACAGGACATGCAAGTGGGGAGCAGTGGGATGACAGGGAACATGTATTCCAACGGGTAGATCATGGTCACGAACGCCATCACAGACATCGACAGAGCATTATAGTCCCTCGACTGGAATACCACCTGATAGGGGAAAAGGAGGAGTCCGACTTCCATTTTCGAGCATCCAAGCGGGGAAGATCGCGACGAGAGAGCCCCGAAAGGGCGAGAAACGGACAACCCTTTCCATATGAGAGGGGAATCTAGAGGATTGGATCCACTAAGGATTACCTTAGACTCGAGCAGAATGAGGATAAGGACATGTAGACAGGCATCCACACCCAGGAGTTCGAGGGGGAGGTGAAGAGGGAAATCCACGAGGGAGAAGCGGGTGTGATCGGGTAAGGCCAACATCAACGGCTGACCCCCCAGAACCGGCGACACCAACTCCAGCTGTTTCGTTACAAAACCATCCATCCGTTCTCATCGAAAACCCCGTAGGGAAAAAAAAAATTGAAATACGAGGCGGTGGACGAGAAGCGTACCTCGAGGCGAGTCTTGCCAGGCACAGGAACAGGTGCACTGAGGAGACGAAGAATCCACGTCTCGATCTGTCTGACATCGTGCAAGATGAACGATGCCGCCTCTCCACTTCTCTCTCCCGTCAACAAACTCCAAACGGTTTCCCTAGAAAATTCCCCAAGCCTAATGCATGAGACCGCGGATGCGAGGGAATCAGAATTCGGCCGGGGGATGTTCACCTCGCGGATTGCTTGGAGGCGCCGATCCTCTTGGGGGAGGTGTTTTCGTCACAGGCATCGATGATCTTCCTCAGGACTTGCAGGCACTTGCGGAACGTGGAGAAGAAGGGATGGTGGGACAACACACACAACGACGTCAACGTCTGCGTCCTCACTCTCTGCAGCATATCGAAGGAAGTACTGTATTTTTGTCCATAAATTCCGGGGGAGGAGGACACCTCCACGATATGCATTTGAGTGTTTAATTTCACCTGTCGTTTCCTGGACGCCCTAGGGGAAGGCGAAAGAGAACCTCCGCTTTCGGAATCCCCGGGATGTCCCGGAATGAGGAGGGAAAGCCTCTGCTGACTCCCTCCCGAATCCCTTCGACTCGGACAATCCCGATCCGAATCGCTCGGCACGATACCAGACGATCGATGATCGCTAAAGACACGAACTCCCCGTCATCTCTTGCTTTCCCGTAACGATCCGGAGACTCGGCGAGTGGCATACCTGGAAAAGGCGGAATCGGAGCTTCGATCCAGGCTCTTCCTCCAAGATTCCCTCTTGCTGGAAGATTCTTTCCTCTGCTCCCCACGAAGGCGGGTGGATGCGCCCGATGATCCTAGGGCATTCCTCTCCACCGTCCGGTAGAAATTAAGGCACACCCCGTACCTCGTCTTCCCTGCATTCCGTATCGGTTACAGACCGGGTGGACCCCTGGCGATTCTACGCAAGAAAGGGAAGATCTCTCACCTGAATCTTTGTCGGTGAGAGCGAAGACGAAGGAGGAAGCCTCTCTGGAGGCGGATTTCTGAGGTCCGACCGAGGAGCACCCTTCCGGCTGACAAAAGCACACCATGTCCAAAGGGAATGGGAAATCCTTGTGATCCTCCGGCGGGTATCTGCAGACACGCGATCGATCCTCTTGGAATTAGTCCCAATGAGAGTCTCACGAGATTACCCTTTCGTAGGCTTACCTCCGGAGGAGTTCGGGGTTTTGGACGGTGACATTTCGACTGGGTTGCCTCGCCCCGACGATGGCTACGTAATCCAGCAGCCTCGGACACAGAGATTTCCTCTGAAAATCACTCATTCTACCTGGAATCCTCCTCCACGGCCCCTTCCGCGCCTCTCCCTCGCGTCCACTTATTGCTCATCATATCTGCAAGATAGAAGTAGACGACACATATAGACGTGGAATAGAACATGTCCCCGAGTCCCGGTTATGGTAGTAGCAGAGCCATAAATGACTAAGGATACATCTGGGATAAGGTTCCCCCGCTGGCTTCCCCTCCATTATCTCGCATTATGAAAGGAAAAAAAAAAAATTCCCTTGCTTTCACACGCCACAGGGACACACACACACGACGGAGAAACCCTGCTGGCCTTATCGAGGCAGGAATTCCGTCCTTCGTATTGCCTCTATGTACAGAGCCGTAAAAGTCGAGGTGCAAAGTAATGACCTTCGGGAGAGTGGTATACGATCACGAAGTTCATTACGCGGACAAACGAGACAAGCGATCTCGTCGCGAATGAGTGTGATCGAGATTAACGAAGTGACATCCTCGGGGATCCATTGATCCACTGCGTCATGCAGTTATCAAGGGAACAGCGGGAAAGGGAAGGGAAGGGAAGGGAATGACGCAGGGTGTGGAAGATGCATGGAAGGGGGTGTCCATCGATCCCTTTTCTTTACTTGACACCTCGAGCAATCCCTTTTCAGAGCAGACCTATAAATACTGTATAGAGATGTATATATCCTCCCTGTCCCAAATTGATGCGATTGGATTGCAGAACACCCGCCCACATATCTGTTCCGATGACCTTCGGCATCTTACATGAGGGAAGAATCGTTGCGACCATGTTGCGACAGGCTTTTCTCTCCGGGGAGTCACTACTTCTCTCTCTCTTTCTCTCTTTTTTTTTGGCCTAGACAATCGCTGGAGGGAGTTCAAAGGGGAATCGAGATCGACTCGAAAACACGGAGGGGAAATGCAAGGAATCTTTACGCTAAAAATAATTTTTGCAAAGGGAGCTGGCGAGAATCCCTTTCCTTGCGAAAATGAAGCCGAATTCATCCGTGAATTTCAATCTCTCGATTCAGTGGGCATGAAAATATGGAAATGTGAAAAAGGTCAGATGAGGGAAGTCGTCGTCTCACCATTCACTTCTTTCCTATATAAGTTCAACACCTATGGCAAACTCGGAAATGCACTATGAGCAATGCAAGATATACTTTTCTCGGTTTCTTTCCCTTCAGGAATTGTTTGTTCAGTAGGAAAAATTTTATCATTCTCATCGCGCCTAATTTTTTAATACAGGATGCTTTATTATCAAGTATAACTGCATTTTGATCAACGAAGACACACTATACCAGCGTTCGTCAAACATTTCATGGACTTTCCTTCCCCCCCCCCCCCCCCCCCCCCCCCCCCATTTTCTGGACTTTCCTTCCCCCCCCCCCCCCCCCCTTCTCGTTCCCCGCTCACTGAGAACGACTTGAACACTCTGCAACCACCCCTTTCCTCGAAAACCTCTTAATCTAGGAGCGTTAAAGAATTTTTAAAGAAATTTATTCACGTTCAAGTAGGTCTATCAAACCAGCAAAATGTGATACTTATTTCCAAAATTTACATTTGAAATGAATCCCCCACTCGTCCAGGCCCTGTCACAACCCCTAGATCCTGTCGCGCCTCCCGCGTTTGATGACTGCTGTAAAACACTGTGCACTATGGCAAACTGTAATTAGTGAACCAGATATCAGTCGAAAGACACAAGTTGGCTAGATCAAGACGTACGGACGTCTTGATTAACTGTGTGCGTGCTTCGAACTCGTTGTGCTTGCCGTGTGTTCACAAAGTGAGCATACAAAAGGAACACGACGTAGATTGAATCAGTTGTAGGCACGTGTATGAACAGTCCGCACACACATTCGCATACCACGAAGTCAGATAGCCCCATCCGTGCTGCAGCCCTACGATACGAAGCAGAGTCGCAACAAGACTACGTATTAAAAGCCAACCGCTATAGAAGATGCATTCGGAACAGCTGAGGCCTCTGCACGCGAGGAGAGGAAAATGGCCTCTCTTTCTTCCCCATATCGATCGTCTCGACTTCTTAAGGAAACCCGTTAGAGCTCCAAGAAACAGAGATCACCGACAGAGGTGAGACTCACCACATCGAACACCTTGTCGGGTGATATGATAAAAAGGGCGATGGAAACGGCACATACTCTGTACATGCACTGGAGCGACCGTGAGGAACGGTCCCCTTCTGCACGATGGGATGGAAGTGTGCGCACTGCAGGGCGACCAATCAATGGCTCGTCGTCATGGCAACCTCCCCGGGCCGGTCGCAGATCCTGGCTTTCCTTTTTTTTTTTTCTTTTGCTTTCAGGCCTTGATCTCGATTCCAGCGGAAAGCAGCCCCTCAGAAGCCACTTCAATAGACCGAATCCCCAGAAGAAATAATTATTATCGTCGAGAAGAGCTTCGCAACGGCTTTTGAGCGTAGGCGGCATTCAACCCCAGAAATGCAACTCAAGATCGATCCCGGCTGGGTTCCCGGGGTTTCATTTCCGTGCAGGAATGGGGAGGTTGCGGCTGCTCGTGGCTCTCCCTTTGCATATAATTAGCCATATTATCAGAGTATCTCTCATGCAAGCTCATGCAAGCAGACCATAAAGGGTCAAAGAGCAAAAGGACTGGAATTAATTTTTTTTAGCCAATGTCTTCAGGAATCTCTGATTCTTTGTGAGCTTCAACATGAACAGTTTTGTTTCACTGACTGAGATATCTTATCGACTCATCTATCCAGAACCACCTTCAAGTGGCAAAGCCATTGCAGTTTGGCACGCATGGCATAGTCAGCAAGGCTTGCAGTGTAAATTCGGCTTGACGACTTGAGCCTCGACTGGACTACACTCGCATTATCGAACGTGAATAATTCAACGTCGGCGTTGAATTTTCTGCCCATCAATCACTCTGCTTACAAAGGGATCTTCCCACAGCCTCATGCTTATTCCGTGGGGAAGTAAAGAGATAGTTTTGAAATGAGTGGAAACATCGGTGAACTGGACCTGTGCACACTGGAGAAACGATCAGTTCTTACTTGTGTTCTGGGGATATCGTTTGTTCTTGGAGGTGTATCCCATAAGACAGATAGGTGTGGTAATGAGAACATTGTGCTTAATTAGCGCAGATCCGTGGAGAAGGAACTGCAATTATTGCTCATTCCCTTTGGGAAATATCGCTAGCGAAATGAGCTATTAGCGATCCCCCCCCCCCTCCCCCCCATCAACAAGCTTATGTTGGTAAGTGAAACGTTGCATGCAATTACTACCGAAATTGTGCTTTGTAACCCACCTATATTCAAAATGTACTTTTGAACAATGCAGAATTGGATTCCTGCATGATCTTTCAGTGCTGTCACCCACCTCTCAGCACTAAAATACGAAACGGAAAGCCACGAACGCGACAACTCTTCCACCCGCGATGGACGATGCCGTCCGACTGCGAGGGATCTGAGAAAGTTCATGCTCGCGTGGAAGGAGGAGCGCGTTAATCTCGGGGAGCCTGGAGTCTCTAGAAGTCGGTCGCGGTTCCGTGGATGTCTCGGTTCGATGTGCCGACTTCAGCCGGCAGTGTTGCCCTGCAGCGGATCCAAGTGCACCGCGCTACATGCATCTATGGTGATTTCACAAGAATGCAGTGGCACCAGAGAGTTCACCTGGCTTCGTCGATGCACTACATTCATGTTAACTATCGTGAATTCGTGAATCGTCGGGGAAGAATGAAATCCACGCTTCCGGTTGAACCGAGGATCCAGTCCATTCCATCGATAAGCATCACCATATCATTTATTCACAGCTGCTAATCGATCGAAAATTTGAGTTAATTAAATCTTTGACTGATGACTAGAATCATTAGCGATTTGTCGCATCTTAAAATTTCTAAAAGGAATGACATGCATACCCTGGTGTTATCTCTCGATCCCAGCCGGTCGATCTTCGATTTAATTTATACTATATATTTTTATATACAAATAACGGATGGTGGCTTTGCTAGAGGCCTTTATCGCTAACTCCATCCCTTCTGGACCAAAGGAACTGGACCGCGAATAGGTGCATGATGGCAAATGACGAGTCATATGCGAGCCGACACCACGTTTCTCTCATATCACATCCATCTGCTCCAATTCACAAATCACGCCATCTTCTTTCTGGTGCGAGAGACGGAGCACCAACGAAGCGTGGAGTCAACCCGCACGCTCTCATCCGCCATGCGGCAGGCATTCGCAATCCGTTCCCGCTTCCCCTTTCGGGCCCGGCGGGAACCCGGCCGGGGAGGGGAGCTCTCTCCCGTCTTCGACTTCAGACATTTTTTATGTCCCATCGTGATGCAGTTTAATTTACCATCAACAATTTTAGAGATTAAATGCATAAAGGAAAGAGTTTTCTCTGCGAGGGAACATGGAGGACCCGAAAAGGAAGCACAGGAGATGAGAAAGATGTAGCTTGGCATGCACGGGTCTGGCTTCAAGCTTATCTGACTTCATCGTCAGCTTCTATGGCAGCGGTTCTGAAACGGAACGGGGGGGGGCGGCGAGAGAGGGTCCCAAGGAGTGCGCAACAAGTCATGGGCTTTTAGTTTTTTTTTTAAATAATTATATTACAATGTGCAATTTCAAAAACTATGTCTTTTTTGGAATCTTTTGGTTTTTTTTTTACTGAAAAATGTTCACGTTCCTTCTCAGCTTCTCTCCCGATTCGATTGTTTGTGGGCCCAGAAACACATGGGCTTCGTTTTCATTCAAATTCGGTCACCAATCATCCAATTCCTAGCTGCGACCCAGTCCTTGAACTGTTGTAATCTTTCATTTTTTCATTTTATTTAAATTAGGGCTGTTCCGGTGGCCACATTTGGCCGGTGGGCCGATGGCCGATTTTTTCCTCATAACCATCGACCGGTGCCGGTAACAATTGTGGCCTGTAGAAGAAATCGTCTATATATTCAAATGGGCCTAATTGGAAGCCATGTGATACTTATCAGTAGGCCTTATTGAAACGATAGAGACCACTTTTGGTCCCATCCAACCTGTTGTGTCTCTACGAGGCTGTCAGTGGTTAGATCGTCATCCATTGCTGCTGTTGAGAGCATTTAGTGACGCATCCCTTGCAAAAGCATAACGTAAATGGAGACGCAATGACTTCCCTTCTTTACCGCTCCTTTCCCCTGCCAGTTCCTATAACCCGGCTGGAATATAATCCAATCGATATTATTGTCTGGGAGAGGCTGGGAGGAGTGGCCGAAGTGAGACAGGAGGGCCGGCGCCTAGCCGCGTGAACACCCTCACGTCATTTTTCTTCGCTTTGCCCGGCCTTTGGGCACCGGCATAGACCGACGGCCGATAGTGCCAATAGTGCAACACCGGCGGCCGATACCGGTGTTAGCCGATACATCGGTACAGCCCTAATTTAAATCATTGCATGAATAAAACATCCGCGGGACTGGCTCCTTTTCCTGGTACTCCTCCCAGAAGAAGAGGGGGCGCAACGCTAGGCCAGGGTCGCTAGGGGTCGCAAGAATAAAAAAGTTTGCGGGCCGCTATTCTATGGAGATGAGCCTCCTCTCGCAAAAAATTCTCATGCAAGCCCCATTTAGTACTTATCTTGATTTCTCCGCAAAGTTGAGTTACTTCTAAACTTAGAATTGGAGGAATTCCTAAACTTAACAATACCTCATCATGGTAAACTTTGAGTTAACTTCATCACCTTGAAGTTAATCCATTTCCCATCGCCGGAAAGACTTCAACACCATAAAATCTTGTCGACTTTGTTCACTTGAACATGCCAAAGCCAAGGTCAAATGGTATCGTCACTTGCTAAAATTATCGTCAACCGAAAGGTGATAAGTGCATGGACATCTTGATAGCATTAAAAAATCTCACAGTTCTACCATTTGCAAATTTCATGTACTAAAATCAGACAATTTCATCATTTCATGAAGAGCGATATTGTTGCTCTTCTCAACCTCTTAGGTAGATATGGTTGATTTTTGGACTATAACGCTAATAATTAAATATTTACGTCAACAAGTTTTAAAAATTATCGCGAATGACTTGGTATTGCAAGGGTCGATCGATCTACAGAAGCCGACAGGTCTCCTGCTCCCGTTTTCTTTATAGGTCAATCCGGCTTCCGCTGTAGACCATATTTAATCCCCCGATTGAATTCGGCCTTGGGGATGAAGCTGATTACGAAGTAATCCCTTTTGCCGATTCTTCCTGCGAAGTCGCAGTCATCAAGAATCCCTGCCTGAGTTTTTTTTTTCCTCATTCATAGACAAAGAAAGACAAAGACAAAGTCAAGTCAATGAAAGAGAGATCATCGTCCATATCGACCATCGATCATATATGACGGATGGTAAAAGAAACTTAGGAAAAAAAGTGTAAAACGTCACTCCATTTTATCTCATTCGATTTTTGTAGCATATCTGATGCAAGTCAGAATTTGAATATGGCAGTATGATCAAGGATTTTCATGCAATTTGTTTTTCTTGAGCCATAAATGAATGGGAAACTACAGTGTTTTTCGAGTCAGACTTTTTTTTACTTGACTCACGTGAAACACATTGCAGTAATGTTCTTCCAGCACTCAAGTATGAGTGAAAAACGAAGGGTTAGGGACATCTAAGTTTTCGGAATCTGCAGCTGATGACCAGATGTCATCTGTTGATTGGACGACAAAGTGGTATTCGCGGTAATTCTGCTAAATGCAAATGTTATTGTACCGTTTAATCAAGACAAAACTTTGGGATGGAATCACGTTCATATTTTGGTAAGACTTGGACTTTCGTTGTCATAGGGTCGCTGATAGAAGAGTTGTTTTGTCAGTCCCATCCCACCTACGGATTTAAGCTTTCAAATGTGGTTGAGGGTGAGCCAGAAGGCCGTACGCCCATGCATATGTCGGATGGAAGTCTCGCCCAGGAAGCCAGATAGAGGATGTGGTAGTTCGGTGAACCTGGTCAAGGGAAATCTTGCTTTCATAAGTGACGGAGGTACCATTTCTCCACATCTTAAGTTAGATGAGGCAGGCTAAGGCCTAAGAGACTCAGCGTAGCCCACTCGATATAATGCGCTAGGCTAGGGTGACCAGACGTTCCGGTTTTACCGGAACAGTCCCGGTTTGAGTTTTCCTTTCCATCTTGGTGTCCCGGATTATCCGAAAAAAAGTCTGATCACCCGAGGCTAGGCCTATCTTTTGTTTACACCCCTTGTACTCGGAAAGTTTAGGCCTACATAGGCCTTTTCTACGATTGGGCTATGAGCTTTTCAAGTCATTATACAACCAGTTCACCGAGTAGGGTTAAGAATTCCCAACATTTTCAGTTACTTTCACTTCTACTTCCTTGGAGGACCGGGAAAATAAGCACTTGGATGTGGGCTGTCGTTTATTTCGGCAGTTCATCTCCTAAAATTATCAAGACACTTTTGGTAGAGTATAGAAAGGGGCTCCAGAGAATGGCTGCCAAGGATTGACCTTAGCATGCGATTTTATTTTAAGAATTAATTTTTAATTGGTTTTCATTTGAGCATCCTTCAAATCATTTAATGCCAAAAAATATTAAAGAATCATCCAGGATTTGAAAGTAGAAGATGCTGATATTAGCTTTCCATAACTAATGTTTCATTATTTAAAAAAAAAGGGATCTGACATCTTCCCTTGATAGAATTGACCAGATCCATGGAAATAGCGCTTGAAATTATAAATGTTTGGCAGACTGAAAAAGTTATTACATAGCATGCAATATATGTGTTAGGGATATAGCAGAATTTCACTTAACACCGGTAATGCTTACAGAGAATAAGCTGTGAAATAGATTTAAGACATGTTCCTTGTGTAAGCTATGGCCCTCTGTGGAGAGTCTTCTTCCATGCACTCTGCAGATGTGTACAATGTGAAATATATTGCCAAGAAAATGTTATGCCATTAATTTTTTCTCAGGTATCTGTCTTACTCAAGCAAAACTTAACCATCCAGGCCAAAAGGTAATTATACAGAAGTGTTTAGTGTGATTCCTATCTGGCATGGAACAGGAAGAAGTGATTAGAATTTGCCCTCCTGAGAACACACTGAGCTCTATTCATAACAGTGTGCTGTGTAGTGTGACTGGGTGCAGCAAGGTGTTGCCACATTCCTCTGCATTGGCTATGCATCTGGTTCGCCATCATGGCTTAGGTATTGATCACCTACAGCAAAAATCAAAGGTTAAGGTGCAGTATTTTTGCCCTGCTCCTGGATGTAGATATGGTCTACAGGCCACACCCAAGTCTCCTTTTGCAAAAATGAAGTATTTGAAACAGCACTACTTGAAGGTGCATGCTGAGAAGCAATTTAATTGTACTAGTTGCAAGAGATGTTTTGGCTGCAAGTGGTCCTATGCTGAACACCTGAAAGGTTGTGGCTTTGTGTATCAGTGTAGTTGTGGAGGATGTTATTACTCCTGGGCAGCACTGTTACTCCATGCAAAAGTCAGTGGACATGGATATGATGTGTTACAGGATCCAAAGCATCGGTTGAATCATGGCCCTGCTTCTCTTGCTGCTATTGGCACATTTGCTGGTGTTGGTGTAGGACAATATGCTACATCTACAACACCTAAATCTCCATCATGTTCTGATCCTCCCCACATGGCTTTGGTTGCTGCAAATGCATTGGTTGAACTGTCAGCATCAGTGAAGTGGAAGATTGATATTGGTACTCAAACAGAATCGCATGAAAAGCGTACACTGCGACGCAATGTGGAGCCCTCCCATAAGCACATCAAAAGGAAACGAAGTGCTGAAGTGCAGACTCGTCTCTCTGTGTACACCAACAAGAAGACCAGACATTCCACAGCTCAAACTGGGAACATAGCCAGCTTGATGGTTTCCTCAGCTGCTCTTACTGACAAATTACAGCCAAAGACCATCAAGCATGCAGAAATCCAAACCTGTCCAATTGAAAATGATGGGAATATAGATGGACAGTTGAGTGTAGATGTCATGGACAAGATGTGGTCAGAGGACAATGAACAGAATGGCTCCACTCTCCTTAGTATGAGTTGTGCACAATCAAATTACTACTTTCCTTCTGCAGAAGATAAGGAACAAGATGAAGATATGAATATGAATATGCCTCAGTTTTCAGAGGTTGACAGTGATGACTCCTTCAAAAATCCAATTAATTTTGATACAGCTTTCTCCAGTATTCAAACACAAACAGAATTTAGTGTCCATGATCTTCTTCAAGATCTTGAAACTGACCTTTCAAGTTCCAATATACATTCCACTTCTGAGACTCAGACTACAGATGACTTCTTTGACTTCAGTGAGCTTCTCTATGCAAACATGTGTACTCAGACCAATGAATCACTTTTCTTGGACTCTCAATTCTTGTGACTGCACAGATTCATTACATTGAAAGTACTAAAAAATTATTTGTGCTCTGATACATGTTTTGCTGTTGCTTATCATGTGCCTGTATCAGTTTTGGTATTAATGAAAGGCATTGCAATTCTTTTTTGAAACCCATATTTATTTCTGTTTTCACTGACAGCCTTCTTGATATCTGCTGTTTTGCATCAGAAGTAAAAAAATTTCTGTTCTGTTGGTTGGACAGAAACATAATCCATCCAGTTGGTCCAGGTATAATTCCAGTAAATTGGATTGGCTCTTGGATCAGAAGGCTTCCTGAGAGGTGGTACAGCTGTCTGATTATAATGCTGAAGTCTTCTCAGCAGTTGAGCCAGAATGTCTGGTTGCTCTGAAGCTACATTCACATATTCACAAGGATCATTCAGAACATTGAACAGGCACGGCCTTCTGCCTCCCTGGCAGTTATGCATAGCATGGGGTGGTGGAGGTCCACATGTCACTTCCCCCTTTTTTACTCGCTTCAGGGACTGCTTCTCTGTATGACGTGCTTTTTCCCTGCGAAATCTAGCCAGTAGCTGATTTGCCAGACTTGTAGAATGAAATTTATCCCTGTGGTCACTTTGTGTGTCATTTTCATGTCCACTGGGCCCATACCATCCATTCCATTCCCCTCCATAAATTTCACCTGTCAATGCAATGACTGGTATCTTAATACTGAGAATCTTATAGGCAACCAAGCTATGAACTATTTTTTACTCTACAATCTCCAGGATTGCTCTTATTTCACTAACCTGTAATCAGTTTCCAATTGTCAACCATGAGTGAAGCATAGATACCAGATGAAGTTTCTATGTTATGCAGGATTTCCCTCCTTGGTGAGGATTTATTATTGATAAGAGCCTTCCAGACATCCACTCCATCAATTCCTGCATCCAGATCCATAGGATTACCACCTGTAGGTTCATGAAATCAGAAAAGGAAGACATTAAGGCTACTTTGGTCATTCATCCCTTGTCATAATTGTAAGTGAAATCTAGAATTTTCTTAGTCATCTCTAAGTGATAGCACTAACCTGCAGCTGAGTACAAAGTTGGTAGCCAGTCAGAAATGTGAACCAGATCAGGATAAACTCTCCCAGGTTTTTTCAGTTTTGCCTTCCACAAGAGACCAACACCTCTTATGCCTCCTTCCCACAGTGTTGCTTTCACCTGTGATATATGAACACATGTATTTGCTGAATTTCAAGCTGTCATGCACTCACTGATGGTTTTCATAAGAGCTAATCTAGCCTTTTTATTCTTAAATATTTATTTGCTTAAGTGCCTGCCAGGATCTGATTGCATTTATTTTTATTTTTATTGGATCTCACAATCTGTTTTGTACCTCAACAACTGATGAAACATTTTCTTTACTTGGACTAGAACACACATTTTTAATTATTTCATAAGGTGGAATCATCCATTCTATGCCACTTCCACATCAGCATCCCAGCACATTTTTGTTTTCAAGAGCTCTTTTCTCTAGTGTTCTGGATGAGACAAACCATTGGAGGTAATGAAATAAAATTTTCAATAATAGGTGTAGTACTAGTAATCAGTAAAGAAGGCCATGGAAAACTCACACCACGTAATGGCCAATTTGAGGCAGCATTTTGATTGAATCCTTGTGCAGGTCCTCCATTATCAGTGCTAAAGAGGATTATGGCATCCCTTAGCATATCTTTTTTATGGAGAGCCTCAATCACATAGCCCACAGATTCATCTACTTTTGTCACCATTGCTGTATCAAGGAAGACAATTACATAACTCAATGAAAACCTTGAAAAGATTAGATCTAACTACTGTTACTAGGCCAAGACTTTTTAGTTACCTGCATAGGTCCTCCTTTTGATATCTTTAATATGACTGAAGCGTTTGATATACTCAGAGGGAGCTTGAAGTGGTTGGTAAGGATTCCCAGAATGTACTCCAAGATGTGCAATATAAAGGAATAAGGGAGCAGAAGGGTCATGACTTCGAATGATGGTCAAAGATTCATTTGTCAAAAGGTCAGTTGCATAAATTCCAGATGCTTTTCTGTCCACTGTCATGTTCCTCCGAAAGTCATATCCCCAGTATTCCTAAAAATGAATAACTGCATTTTTGGCAGCCCCAGTGAGACAAAATCACAAGATGCTCAACCCTCTAATCATGATGTGAGGTCAAATCTGACCCAAAGACTGGCATTCAAGGATCCCCTTCATGCTGGCAGCAAGTACATCACATGAAACTTGCTGGCACTATTTCTGTATCCATACCCCAATGTCATGGATGGAGAATAATGAAGTCCCAAGAGAATTCTCTGTAGATGATAATTCAGAGTTGATATGGACCTGTCCATATCAACTGTTATTAAGTGGCCAGTGGAACTTTTAACTTATTCTTGATTTCCATAAAAATTATATTTGGTTGCATTATTGTCTAGGTATATTTTTGTTTTTTTAATAATTATTACTAACTGTAACTTATTGCAGAGTGATTTCATATGTTCATTTGTTCATTTGAATGTGAAAATACTCCTGGTCTCAAATTTTGTAATGATAGGAAAGCTGAGTGAAGACAGCACTCTTGCAAACTCTGTTGAGGTGTATGTCCCAAATACAGAATAATCCAAGGCATCAATCAACCATGTCTTGGGGTCAGTTCTGATCAATCAGTGGGTTCAACAGGAAATTTCCCATAATGGGGTTTGAATGTTAAAAATTGATGAAAAGGAATCACCCCTTCTTGAGCTGTATGATCATAATAATCTTCATGTCCAGTCCAATATCCATAGTGAGATTGGAAGCCTCGAAAAGTAGGTGTGTATCGCCTATGAAAGTGGCCCAAGTGCCACTTCCCAACAATATGTCGAGAATAACCCAATCCAGCCAGATGTTCTGGGAGAAGTGGGAATGATAATGGCAATCCCCAAGGCTCACTTGCATATAAAACATCATTCTGCATTCCTGTAGGATATACACATAAGTCAGAGGTATTGCAAAGAGAATCCATGTTACAATCAATATATTGTGTGAATTTGAATGTTCCTGATGAGAGAATCACCTGATCTTACCTGTATGGATTGGATACCTCCCTGTCATAAGGGCACTGCGTGATGGTGTACATAAAGGTGTCACGTAATACCTACCCAAGACTATACCATGAATCCCAAGAGCATCGATGTTTGGAGTGGGAATCTGGCTTGAGCCATGTATGCTCACATCATTCCAGCCCTTGAAAGGTGAGAGCAACATTACAGGATTTTGGGGATTACACACTCCTCATACATGGTTTTATTCAGGCATATCATTATATCCATAGCAAAATAAAACTTACCAGGTCATCTGCAACAATGATAATGATGTGGGGATGAGGTTTGTCAGAGTTTCCAAAGCCAGGAAGAATATAGGTCAAACAGAATACAAAAGTCACAAGATGAAGCATTTTCTGAAGCCTCTACTCCTTTAGATCAAATGATATTCATGGAAAGAGACCCAAGGCTTTCTAAGTTTGGCAACTGGTAGGCTGACTGGAAGAGATCATGAAGTCAGGAAGGATGCACTTTCACTCTTCTCTTCAAGAATTCCAGCAGTGGACTGGGCAGGTTCTTGAATATTTCATATACATCTGGCTCTTTGAATTTCATGTGATATTAAGAATGACAGCAGGAGTCTCTCCATTTGAAGTTGAGTTAGTTGTTTGTTACAGTGGGAGTAACACAATATCTAGAAGGTGACTAATATAAATCTGGAAATATGTTGACCATTTGCTGTTCTAACTTTAATATAACCAATGAAAAAGGTTTGGTGATAGTTAAGTAAACTAAATTATGCTGAAGGAGGAGGTACAGGAAGCAATTCTCTTTGTAAGGAATCAATAAATTCATATGGTTCCAGTGGAAACATTTGATGGCAGCCAACCTCAGAGGATCCCCAAAGGAAAAGGAAATGTGAGATGTACTTAAGTAATGACAACAGTTCAAGTAATACTGTGCAAGTGTGAGCTTTCTTGCATTTTAAGAACTTCTGAGTTCTGAGTGAATTTTGAAACACTTTCTTCTGTCAAAGTTTCTCCAAAAAGTTTTGCATGCAAGCATGAGGTAGTCCACTATAATAGTTAGTGCAGGACTTTGAATACATGAAAAATGAAAAGATCACGTGAAGAAAGGAGCTTGGAAAGAACTATCTAGGGTAGGGTAGGTGAGACGAGTTCCGACCCCGCTATAATGTCCGGCCCCTACGTTACATAATTCAACGTAATCAAACATTCAAACAGCCTTTTTCAACCAAATTGCACCAATGTCATGTCCGAACTCAATATGTGAATGGACAGTGTGTGCATTTTCCTCTCGAATGGCATAGATAGCAACAAAAATTTCCAAACGTAGTTGAGGGGCGGATTTTGAGCTTGAAGGGGTTGGAATTTGTATCACCTACCCTAATAACACTCCGTTCTCTTCAGGTAACATTTGGCAAGTTGCTGACATTCACTTCATGAATGCCAGCAGTGGACTGGCAAGAGATCATTCCATAATAACTCAACCTGGCAGTGCGCTCGACCATCTCATATTTCGCGATTAAAAAAAATTCTAAGCGATTGCAATCAATCTATCAATTCCGTAAGAAAAAATTATCAGCTCCGTCGGATCTGCGATTGGCGAGATAGGGGAGGGTGGGGCACCATGGGTCCCGGGGGTACTATGGGTAAAGCTGTTTACAGCGCTCCCAGCTGTTTCTCTTCATGTCTTCTGATCCATATCTTCCAGCTGAAGTGCCAGGAAAGTGCAGTTGAAAAAAAAAGAGTAGTCCTCATGGGAAGTACAAATTGTGCGGACATTTTTTCTGTAGAAGACGCTTTTTTCGTTTTTGTTGAGAGTGACATCTCGATTTTTGCCGTTTGTTTATTTCAATGAAAAGTCTTGATTCCTATTGGAATTGGATTCGGGATAGTTCAATACCTGCGCGCATGAGCTACTATCTCAACTTACTCTGGTTGTAATCTTGATTTTATTTTAATGGCTCATGTTGTGGCACGATGGGTCGTTAACTCAGAGCGCCAAATGTTTCCTGATAGTTGTCAATGCATATTAAAATTTATTTTGCAGTCTTTTCCCGACCTGATAACGAGCAATTAGAAGCGACCCATGGTGTCCATCCTCCCCCATCGCCCCAGAACTTTGGAGAAAAACGAATAAACCCATGGACGGCAAAATTTCCGTTTCAGGAACCATTCATCGCACAGAGACGTGCACTAGCTTCAACCGGAGCTCTCTAATAGGGAAACAATCCGCTCCACACATCAGTGGAGTTTGAATGAGATTTCAACATCATGGTTGAGTTTGAAAATGGCAATAACCCACACAGCACAGGGATATCCCAGGGATGTCCCTAACTGGACGACTTGTCCCCCTGTCTTTATAGGATATCCTGAAGACATCTCCTTTCGGACGGTTTCGGACATCTCGCAAGGGATGTCTTCGGGACGTCTTTTAGACATCTTCAGTCGATATCTTAGAGATATCCCGAAAGGGATATCTTTAAGACAT